AGAGAGAGAGAGAGAGAGAGAGAGAGAGAGAGAGAGAGAGAGAGAGAGAGAGAGAGAGAGAGAGAGAGAGAGAGAGAGAGAGAGAAAGAGTTGGATCTGCATTTCGCGTGAGCTTCGACCAGGGCAGCGAGAGGTATGTCACCCTCCCCTTTTTGTGTAATGCCACGTAGGATCAGGCGCTGGCCTTAATGGGGGGGGTTCGAACCCTCCCCATTTTTTTTTTCGAACTTTTCAACAATAAGGAGATTGTCCTTATGTGTAATGCCACAGAGGATCAGGCGCTGACCTTAATGGGGGGGGATCGAACCCTCCCTCTTTTTTTTTCGAACTTTTCAACAAAAATAAGATTGTCATTATGTGTAATGCCACGTAGGATCGGTCGCTGTCATTATATGTAATGGCACGTAGGATCGGTCGCTGGCCTTAATTAAGGGGGATCGAACCCTCCCCATTTTTTATTTCGAACTTTTCAACAAAAATGAGATTGTCATTATGTGTAATGTCACGTAGGATCGGTCGCTCGCCTTAATGGGGGGGATCGAACCCTCCACCTTTTATATTTTTCGAACTTTTCAACAAACTGAGATTGTCATTATGTGTAATGCCAGGTAGGATTAGGCGCTGGCCTTAATGGGGGGGGATCCAACCCTCCCCCTTTTTTTTTTTCGAACTTTTCAACAAAAATAAGATTGTCATTATGTGTAATGCCACGTAGGATCGGTCGCTGTATTATGTATAATGCCACGTAGGATCGGTTGCTGGCCTTAACGGGGGGGGATCGAACCCTCCTCATTCTTTATTTCGAACTTTTCAACAAAAATAAGATCGTGATTATGTGTAATGCCACGTAGGATCAGGCACTGGCCTTAGTAGAAGGGGATCGAACCCTCCCCCTTTTTTTTTTTCGAACTTTTCAACAAAACTGAGATTGTCATTGTGCGTAATGCCACGTAGGATTGGTCGCTGTCATTATGTGTAATGCCACGTAGGATCTGTCGCTGGCCTTAATGGGGGGGGATCGAACCCTCCCTATTTTTTATTTCGAACTTTTCAACAAAAATGAGATCGTGATTATGTGTAATGCCACGTAGGATCGGGCACTGGCCTTAACGGGGGGGGATCGAACCCTCCCCCTTTTTTTTTTTGAACTTTTCAACAAAACTGAGATTGTCATTATGTGTAATGCCACGTAGGATCAGGCGCTGGCCTTAATGGGGGGGGATTGAACCMCCCYCCTTTTTTTTTTCGAAGTTTTCAACAAAAATGAGATCGTGATTATGTGTAATGCCACGTAGGATCAAGCACTGGCCTTAATGGGGGGGGACTGAACCCTCCCTCTTTTTTTTTTCGAAGTTTTTAACAAAAATGAGATCGTGATTATATGTAATGCCACATAGGATCGATCGCTGGCCTTAATGGGGGGGGATCGAACCCTCCCCCTTTTTTTTTCTCGAACTTTTCAATAAAAATGAGATCGTGATTATGTGTAATGCCACGTAGGATCAGGCGCTGGCCAAAGTGGAAGGGGATCGAACCCTCCCCCTTTTGTTTTTTGAACTTTTCAACAAAAATGAGATCGTAATTATGTGTAATGCCACATAGGATCAGGCGCTGGCCTTAGTGGAAGGGGATCGAACCCTCCCCCTTTTTTTTTTGAACTTTTTAACAAAAATGAGATCATGATTATGTGTAATGCTTAGTAGAATCGGTCGCTGGCCTTAAGGGGGGGGGATCGAATCCTCCACCTTTTTTTTTTCAAACTTTTCAACAAAAATGAGATCGTGATTATGTGTAATGCCACGTAGGATCAGGCGCTGGCCTTAGCGGAAGGGGATCAAACCATCCCCTTTTTTTTTTTTTTTCGAACTTTTCAACAAAACTGAGATTGTCATTATGTGTAATGCCACGTAGGATCGGTCGTCGGCTTTAGTGGAAGGGGATCGAACCCTCCCTCTTTTTTTTTTCGAAGTTTTCAACAAAACTGAGATTGTTATTATGTGTAATGCCACGTACGATCAGGCGCTGGTCTTAACGGGGGGGGGATCGAACCCTCCCCCTTTTTTTTTTCGAACTTTTTAACAAAAATGAGATCGTGATTATGTGTAATGCCACGTAGGATCGGTCGCTGGCCTTAAGGGGGGGGGATCGAACTCTCCCCCTTTTTTTTTCGAACTTTTCAACAAAAATGAGATCGTGATTATGTGTAATGCTACGTAGGATCAGGCGCTGGCCTTAGCGGAAGGGGATCGAACCCTCCCCCTTTTTTTTTTTGAACTTTTCAACAAAAATGAGATTATCATTATGTGTAATGCCACGTAGGATCGGTCGCTGGCCACGTAGGATCGGTCTCTCGCATGACCCCCGGGCGGTGACCGGGGCAAATGCGCGGGGGTTCCTGTCCTACGTTTGCCAAACGCACGACCCCCCCGCGCGTTTCCTCGGGGCAGTCGCGCGGGGGGTCCTACGTTTGATAAACGCAGGACCCCCCGCGTTCGCCCCGGGCGGTCGGCATCCGGCAAACGCAGGACCCCCCGGCCGAGTGTCGGGGCAATTGCGGGGGGGGTCCTGCATTTGGCAAACGCAGGACCCCCCGCGCGTGTGGCCCGAGCACCCGCCGGGGGGCCTGCGTTTGGCAAACGCAGGACCCCCCCCGCGATTGCCCTGGCAGTCGAACGGGGGGTCCTGCGTTCGCCAAACGCAGGACCCGTGTCGTGGAGTGGTCGGTGCAACCGCGGGGGGGGTCATGCGTTTGGCAAACGCAGGACCCCCCGCGATTGCCCCGGGCGGTCTGCATCCGGTGGGTCCTGCGTTTGCCAAATGCAGGACCCCTAGGGGGTACCCCAGGCAAACGCGCGGGGGGTCCTGCGTTTGCCAAACGCAGGACCCCCCCCGCGATTGCCCCGAGCACCCGCCGGGGGTCCTGCGTTTGGCAAACGCAGGACCCCCCGGCCGACTGCCGGGCCAATCTCAGGGGTGTCCTGCGTTTGCCAAACGCAGGCCCCCCGGCTGGTGCTCGGGCCTAACGCGAGGGGGGTCCTGCATTTGGCAAACGCAGGACCCCCCCGCGATAGAAACTTGCACCCGCCGAGGGTCCTGCGTTTGGCAAACGCAGGACCCACCACGTTTGGTAAACGCACGATGCCGCGCCCCCCCCCCCGATTGTCCCCTACCGGCCGGGGGTCCTGCGTTTGACACATCAGCGAGGGTCCTGCGTTTGCTAAACGGAGGACCCCCCACCAATGTGCCGGCTGGTAGCGGGAGGTCCTGCCTTTGTCAAACGCAGGATCCCCCGGCTATCAGCCTTTTCATCGGTGGGTGGGGCCCCTGCGTTAGTCAGATGCAGGCCCCCCCCCCCCCCCCCCCCCCCCCCCC